GTCATTCATGGGAATTTTCGTTGAAAAATTTGGAGCCTTTGTTAAGAAAATAACGTTTAAGCGTTAGCGTAAATGCGAAATTTGAAACTCTTTTTCACAGAAACCTTTTGAGTTTTCAAAAACCTTCTTTGGAAGTTATTTGAAGCTCTTCTACTCACATACGCAATAAGATATACAAATTGATGGAAATGTGTATGTAAACGGCGTGAGAGACATTAAAAAATATACATTTGCGGAATTTTGAAACAAACACAGCAAAATGGCTTTTATGTTGTCATGAACTTACTATGTCATCTTGAACATTCCTTGTCATCATTTAGCACTGCGTACAATAAGTTCGAATAAAAAACGTTGAGCCTTTTTGTGAAAATGGCGTTGGGCGTTTCTGATAATGCCAAAATTTGAGCTCATAGATAGCTTTTGAGTTTTCGAAAAACTTTATAAAACATAATTTTATGCACACGTGCTCATAAATTCAATGGTGTACACAAATCGCCGGTGATATAATACTAACGAAGTGAGAGATATGTGAAAAAATTGCTGTAGTGTAATTAAAAAACAGAATGGAACAAAATCGCGTTATTGCATATTTTACAGTACATTTAGCACTATCCGTACTAAAAGATTAAAGAAAAAATTTGGAGCCATTTTTGAGAAATTCTTGTTTTTGGTATTTTTAATACATCACTTAATATTTTATTGAAGATGGCACGAAAACTACTAAAGTTTTCCAAAAATGTCACGACCTTAATGGAAGAACTTATTACGGAGAACAGATTTCATATGAAAGAAAAATCTCTTATCTTCAATATTGTAGTAGTTGTAGGAAGACGCCGAAAAAATTCAAACTTTTGCGATTTTTGAAACTTCAGAGTTAACAGTAGAAATTGGACGGATGCCATCTTTTTAAGTGTATTTCACACTATTCTTACAATAAATTTAAAGAAAACATTTGAAACTGTTTTTGAGAAAATTTTGAAAATGTCTGCGAGACATTTTAAACATTTTAGCCCCAAATTTTAAAGAATGTTTTACCAAATCGACAAAGGTTTATTCAGTTTAGAAAAAAATTACGTATAGTTTAGGCGGTAGCATTGTTCTCAGACAGAAGGGCAGACAAGTGTAGATGTCATGTGAAGATATGCGTTTAAGCTCCATCCCTGAGCTTTCGCTGTTACCGAGGGATGTTCCGTGTTCTCGATGTGCACAGTAATTTCTTTATCTACTGTTTGTATGTGTAAACCATGTATTAAGCTGGTCAGACAAATGGATGGACGTTTTGAAAAAAAAAGAAAAGAAAAAAGAACTTCTACGAATCAGAGGACCCTAAAACATATATTTTCATTTAAATCTCGAAATCCAGCATTTTTCGCAGCCTTACATAACTTTCTCTCTACCATGTATATTACTCCTTATATATGTACGTATTCGAGAAAATAAAATGAAGCTTTGCTTTCTTCTTCAAAAATGATCCAAATGCTTTCTTTAAACTTCTTTGGTTGGGTTAATGTGATCGTACTGTAATAAGTAACTATGTATACAAACATTACCGGCGATTTGTGTACATTATTACTTTATCGTTACGTACGTAGCATATACGGAGTGATATGTTTATTTTAGGGAAAGGTTTGTAATACTCCGTAAAATCGATTTCGAAGTTTCGATGGAAATACGTTTTGGGGTTCTCTGATACCAAAAAAGTGTTGTTCTTTTTTTCAAAACGTACGTCTATCTGTCCGTCTGTCGGTTTGCTCGTCTGTTGTCTGTGAACAACACTAGCGCCCTGTTGATCTGGCCTCGCTCGAAGCTCCGCGATATTGAAAAACATTCATTAAATTTTGGGGTACTTTAGCTGAAGCCCCTGGGATCGTTTTGAACTTGAGCATATGAGCAAACGCGCAGGCCGGTGCTCCCTATGCTAAGACGCTTTCGCTTGTAATTCAATTTCTGTGCCTGGGCAAACTAAAATCTTTCTTGGGCAATCGAGAACACACTTTTTAGAAATAGTATGCACAGTATCTTCAGATATGACGACATCACCACTCTAGATTTCTATTGTTCTGTATCCTTGTAACACATTTTTATGGAATCTGTTATTTTTACAAGTTAACTATAATTTATTGTGGAAACCAGTAAAACCGGAGGAGGTGTAGAATCTGCCAGCACTTTCTTTAGATTCAGAATCACTGCTGCAAATTTTGACTGCATACAGTTGAGTGATGAATAATGGGAGATGGACAAGGCAAGGTTACAAAAATGTATAAACCAGGAATTTTCGTTCCCGAGTAACAGAAAATGTATTTGCATCGGTAAACGAACGGCATTTGATTTTATAGTATTTCTTACAAACTAAGCATTTTATTATTAATCATATAATATCGTTATAAGTATGAATTATATAAATTGTTAATGATTTAATACAATAATATATCGCTAAAATATTAATATGACGGTTAAAATATTTTTCTTCGGATTCTTCCATTTTGATGCTATTGAATAGCGGGTGGTGCCCCAACAAACTGGAGGTTGCAGCTCCATTGAATGACTAATTTCCAAAATTTAGAACAATTAATTTATAATGAAATGTAAGCAATTCATGCAAAATTATTAAAACTTAAGTTTGTATTGAAGAACTGCTTACATAATTTTATGCGTTGTGTCCGTGTCACCTCTCGCGCACGTGGTTCAGGCTTTGATTTCCTGTGGGCACTCAAGTTTTTGTTATGCATTGTGGCAATTGTCGATAATAGAATTCATGCAAAAAAAGAACTTGGTTTTGAAAATACGGTGATCTCTCTCCAGAGATAAATAATGCATTCAATGTCATGAGTAATTGACTAAACATGTCCTTGCAATAACACACGAAATTCATAAAATTAAGATTCAGCTTGAGTGAGACGACAGAAAATTATCATTCCCCTCGAATGCCGCGCAGTGGATGAGACCCACTGATTGCAAAACGGAATGTTGAAATATGTTGAAGCATATAACCAAATAGTACATGCAGTAAACTCAGTAATAGAGCCCAGAGAGCGTTGTATTCTACAATATGTGGGATAGCCCTAGTCGCCGAAGATAGCGCCAGATGGATCTTTGGTTTCAAAATGATTTAAACGCCCGTCAGTCCGTCCCTCCTTGTTGTCCCTCTGTGATCACTACTAGCGCGTAGTAATCATGCGTAGGATTTTTTACAAATTCAAGAAGCCCCTGTCTATCACGCTCGAGTCAACACTTTGATATATTGAAAAACACTATTCAAAATTTGGGGGTACTCTACATAAATTCCCTCCGAGATTTTCAAAATTTTCTCAAAAACGGCTCCGAATTTTCTCTTTTAATTTCTTGTACGAATAACATGCTGTGCATAACTTGCGGCGGCGATGGTGTAACTGTTAGCGTATTGGACTGTTATACCAAAGTTGGTTGGTTCAAACCCGATCGAAGCCGTTGATTTTTAAGGGCGAAAAATCCTTCGTACGCCTTTTTTCGGAGGGAGTAAGCCGGCTGTCCCTAGTTAATAGATTTTCGCTTGCAAGTAAAAGATTCTCAAGCCTAAATGACGCCTCTGAGCTACATTCAAATCTGTTTCGTTGCCCAAGAAATACCTCCTTTCTCCTCTACTTTGTGAAAGGACCGTAGCGAAATTTGCGTGGTTAGATGGAAGAGCAGGCCTGATGGCCCGAGTCTCGTCATGTGAAATAAAGCGTCAATTCAATTCGAGATACGCAAAAGCGGCATAGGTCCAAATTTCACATTTAACTCTGAATTTTCAAAAATTTCAAAATTAATTTTTTTCTGTGTCTTTCTACAACTACCTAGAGATATTTTTCCTTCAAATAAATTTTGTTCTTCACAGTGAGTTCTTTCATTAAGGTCATGTACTTTTTTTTTTAAATTTTAGTAGATTTTGCGCAATATTGCGTGCAATATGTGCTATTTAAACAAATCACAAAAACAAGAATTTTTCAAAAACGGCTTTAACTTTTGATATTGATAGTGCTAAATGCACTCTATAAGATGACATAAGCGCCATATTCTTTTTTTTTTTTTTTTTTTTGCTTTTTCAAAAATTACAAAATGTAATTTTTTTACTTGTTTTTCACCTCGTTAATATTTACAAAAGCTGCAATTTTTTCACATTATTATATTTATGCATGCATGTGCTTTAAACAGTACCATGTAAAGTTTCTCGAATACTCAACCTTTTCTGCGAAAATTAGCTCAAATATCCTCATTTTCAGAAACCCACAAACGCCATTTTGTCAATTTTTTCTTCAAACTTTTCGAAAGTATAATGCTAATTGCACTCTTTAATATGAGGTAAAGTTCATTTCGTTCTTTTTTATTTTGTTTTGTTTTTTAAAAAATTACACAAATGTATTTTTTGAAAGATCTCTCATGCCAGTAATATGCACATTTCCAACAATTTGCAAACACTATTATATTTGTGAATTTATATGCTTCAAGTGACTTTAAATGAAGTTCTTCGAAAACTCAAACATTTTCTGTGAAACAGAGCTTCAAATTTCGAATTTACTGTAGCGCTTAAGCGCCATTTTCTTAAATACTGCTCCAAATTTTTCAAAGAAAATTGCCGTTTAAGACACGTTTTTACTCTTGTTTAATAATCTTAAAAATATTTCCATTCTATTATTAAGAAGCCAAAAATTTAAGGAAATGTAAAAAAAATAATAATAAAAAAATATGTACTTTGGGTGGCGATAGATGGCAGCTGCGAAGAATATGTGGCTAGTTCGTATCGCAAGCCGAGACCAAAGGAAAGAGCAAACTAATACGGAGAAGTCTGTGCCAAACTGTAGCACCACTTGTTAATTGTATTATCTGGGGGTGTGCAAGCGTGCAACCAAAGCACTTCCCGCGACTGTTGCTAATTACTGTATACATTTACTGTTATTGTCCTTCACTGTGCTCTATACTGCAATCGTAGATAGTGTTTTGTACATATTTTTTTAAATTATGAATTTGTGTATTTTTCTTAGGATTCTTCTCAGAGTGGTAACATTGTATTTGGATCTCTTGGATGAACTTCAATCTCTACATCTACGTCATATTATTGATATCCAATGTCGGAGATGAAATGTTTCAGCACTCAGGTATTTCTTTTTCAATATTCTCTCAAATATTGAGCCACTGATTCTTTATTAAGTTCCGATTCTATTTCCTTGTTTATCGCAATATTTTGTTTTGTTTTCATTTATTTCAAAAGTATTTTCAGTTAAAATTATTGATTGATTCATTCTCCAATTTGTTAATTGTTTCATGTAAATTTCTAGATATAATCCTAGAGAGTGAAGAACTGAGAGACGTATTCTCTGCAAACTTTGTATGTTTATTAGAGAGCCGGCTTTGTCGTCATCAGTCTCCCAACTTTTGCCACAAGAGCGAGACTGATGATGACGGCAAAGCCGTCAAATGCCGGCGCTCTTAATAATAGTTATTTATGATATTCGTGTCGTAACATCTGATTACAATACTCACTTTTCCAATCTCGTATTGTAATCAGATGCTTTAAAATCCAACTGTTCAAGTCTTTGGTGGAGAGCTCCGTAACAAATGGCCCTGAAATTTTGGTACTAAACCAAGCCCTGAAAAAGAGAATTAATAGTGTTGAAAACAGTTTTTGGAGAAGATGCTAAGGAGTCACAATGTTTGATCATATAAAAACAGAAACGATAAATAGGGGAAAATGTAGATGCTTAGGTGATGTGGTTGATTAGAAAAGATTGTTATGGTATTGCAAAGGATCCAGAAAGTCTGCCCAAAAGGTGTTTTTATAACTTGACGCCAGCAAGGCTGAAGAAAAGAGATTAGCCAAGGGTGGAAAGATGTTGTAATAGTGGCAATAGAGAGAAGAGAGGTCTTACAAGGCACTTGGCTTGACAAATCTAAATGGCTCCTTAGAAGCGATAAACGGGCAAAATAGTGCCATTTTTTGTCATTAGACATACATAATATAAAGCAATATTTCGGCATATATATCAAAATCACATTTCAAATTATGATAAAATTAGAAGTAATTGAAACTGCAGTCGTTTGTCGGGGAGACGGGTGGTCACTTACGTAGTTCCACATACACATGCTTCGTAGAAGTTTAAACAAACTTTTCGTATTACGTGAATCATGTCATTTCATTGAGAAATATGATGATGATATTAAAAAATTAATTAATTAGAAGAGAATGATTAATTTAATGTTTTTCTTATAAAAATAATACAAGAAAAGTTGAAAAAAGGTCTGTGGCGAATGGGAAAGAGTAATAGGTTAGACCAGTTGTTTTGAAACTTTTTGCTGCCGTAAATACTTTCAAGATACGAATTATGCACTCGTCTCCCCTCATTAAAATTAAATTGTTAATAACAACTAAATATTTTTCTTGAAAGTAGACAATCATGTGTATTTTTATTACATACATACAGAGTACAAAAGTGATTTGCATTACTCACTGTTGTAATTACTGAATTTAATTAATGTTTGACAAAGTGAGGAAAACAGTAAGGAAAACTATAAAAAACTAACATATTGATAGTTCAGAGAAGTTAGTGAGGTGGAAGGACTTTTTTAGTGTCAAGAAAGTTTCTGGAAAATGCGAAAATTCGTTGTCCAAAAGGGCTGGGCCTTTTTCGAAAGAAAAGTGCAAAAATTGCAATGAAGAGTACAAATTTGTACAATGCCGACGGTTGGTTTGATAATTAAAATTAAAATAGAATATTTTTTTATGAAATGGCAATTTAGTTATTTTAAATTAGGTGAAGATTGCATAGAAGGCCCACAAGGTGTGTGCCACATCATACCTCCCTCCCTGTAAAGGGGTTCAAGCGCCGTCACGGACTTACGAGTTACAAGTTTCAGGAGCAAGTGCTCTGCAGCAATGGGCTTACGAGCCACGGCGGATTTAGGGTGTGGAAGCTAGAGTGAGGATCTCTAGAGTGTCAAAAAGGCAGAAGGATTAACCGAGACCAGGGAGCTTCAACTGATAACCGCTGTTAGTGGTCGTAAAGCGCCCGATATTAATTTACTTGAGATAGAGTCGTTCTCCTCTCCATGCACGTGCACTGCATGAACTCAGTGGGGAGTTAGTGCGGAATGTTATTCAAATAAATCGGCGTCCCTTTCCTCGTGGCAGTAAGTCGATTCCTTCACATTGCGCTCGATAAGAGAAAATAGTCAAAGTCTGTTGCTCATTTACTGTTGCAAAGATATTCTATTACACGAGGGTGAATATTGTCTTTCTATCAAATTTTTCCAAAAACGTTCGTTGCTTCCTGTATTCTTAGTTCAAATTAATGTCGTATGGGGTAATGTCGTCAAGTAGTGATTCCAGAGCTCAAGAGAACGTGCAGATTCCTCTTCTCCCCATAGTACGTTGCGCAGTTTTAGACTTTAAATAAATAAAATAATATAACATTAACCATATTCGGCTGAGATGGTAATTTTTTATCATTACCTTCCACTAGATGTTAAATATTTTTATAATGTTAATTAAAATTAGAATGCAACTTCATGCTGCGAAGAATATTATTTTATAAAATAAAATGCTTATTTGTTTTATATGTATTGCGATACGAATAATCTTTGACATTATTATCTTTTACGTAGTAATTGATTAACGTACGTCTCTCCTTTGTCCGTTCGTTCGTCACTCACGTTTAGCCCCTGCCGGTTGACCAAATGAGACAAATTAAGTTTCATTCGACGCATCTCAAACCCCGGATGGGGATATGATAATTTTTTGCGGATCCATCCAGAATATTCTCAGAGATTTCTCTAAAAATTGTTAGTTGTTTTTCTAAACAACTAAAACGCGTTTTGGGTGAGTTCCTGCAAATTCGAAAGTGATCAATAGCTTCGATTCCTCTCTTCATGGCAATTTTATTGGCACATTTCTTAGTCGGTTCCTTCTAGGATTTTCCGAAAGAATTCTAGAAAAACACTTGCGTTGCTCGAGCGGCAACAAGAAACCAAGACTTTTTGTTGCCGCTCGATCATTTGAACTCTTATAACGCCCTTGGTGGATAAATAACTATTTTGAAATACCTAGATGACTTCTTTTCTACCGTTTATCTTGCTGACTTAGTTTCATAAGGAATATATAATAGTACGGAGAATTAGATGAAATGTATGGATGAGTTTTATTGATCAATAAAGGCACAACCAAATTGTATTGTACATGGAAAGCACAAGGCCACATGGAATATGAAGGTGATGCTTGTGAATGGTTACATTGCAGAGGAATTTGTGTTCATTGAAAGAAAGATGTGAGTGAAATATTAAATTGCACAAGTTGTAAAGCTGGTAGTCGCCAATTCAAGCATTGTGACGTTTAATCTGCCTTGTGCAGTGTCATTCAGCAAGTTACTGCAACTTGTACTACGTGCAGTTTTGTCTAATTGAGCATATGGAATCGCATAGAATTAGAATGAAAATAACAATGAATGGACATAGATATTCTCCGATTGACAGACGGGATATCAAAATGTCCATTCATTGTAATACACCATATTGTTGTTTTTTCTCTTTTTTGTAGTTTTTATAACTTTATTTCCGCAATTTACTTATTATTCTCAATAAGTTTTCAGTTTTTCTTTATTTATTTAAATGTTTTTTTAATTACTCATCTATTGGCTTTAGTTACCGATTTTATTTTATTTTTTAAATTATGCGTCGTAATCTTTTTTGAGGATGGAAGTACATACGAGTACAGTCCCAAAACGTCAAGCGACCACTATATTGTTTGAAGACAAATAAAGATGTGAAATTTAATAAGATGAAATTAGTTATTTTTTATTGTTCCTAGCATTAAGGACAAACTTACCTTCTCGTGGTAAGAATGTGACTCTGGGGATTCTCGGAATATTGTCCAAACTTGTTTCTAGTGCTAATTGTTAAATTAGATGAGACCATTGTGGCGCAGGAGTGGGCAAAAACCTTTTGGACGCAGAGTCTCGTTTTATTCTTAACTGTGGCAGCTTAGTACATACATGTACGCAAAGTGCAGGGTATCTCCAAATGTGGTCGGGCTTACCTTGAAGCGCCATTAAAAATGCCGGATAATAACATAATGTAGGCTCCGTTATCGCAAGGTGATCTTATTTTGATTTTGGTTTTAAATGAAAGACAATAAGGTAGCCTTTAAGAAATGTCGTTACATACGTTTAGACATTGCGTACCTTTTTGACTCAAAGAGCACTTTTTTAATATGTGAAGTGAAACGTAATTCCGGTAATTTCAAGGCAATTTTGGAATTGTGTCCTAGGAGACAATCTTATTTTCTTATAAAATATTACATACCATGTTCGACATATGTGAAAGGAGGGTTTGTGAATTTCTAGGTTATAAGTGAAGTAGGTTTTGAGATATCAGTTTGTTTGACCACTTGAAGTGTCGTTACGATTAGTAGTGCATTTTCGAAACAGTATTTCCTTCCCCAGTGTTTTTAAACAAATGAGCTTGAGCAATCTGAGCTTACTAGTACAACTCTCTTTTGCTATATTAAATGAATCATAGTCAATTTATGATTTATTAATACATTTACTACTCCTGTCTGGATCCGCCCCTCTGCTGAATAAGGTAACGGCACCAAATGTGGAGAGTTCACGTAAAACTGACATGCAAGAGTAATTGTTTATGAAATAAGAATTCTAGTAGTTGAGGTGGTTCACCAAGAGGTGGCAATAACAGTCGAGACTATAGATTGAGGTAACGAGCCTACTTAATTCCAATAATGTGATTTATCTTGAGTTCGATGAGCATATGATTTGGCATGTGTACTAGTGCAGATAATCCATGGAAATCCTTACAAATTTCTTAAGAATTTGTTTTGTTCTTTAGTATATAAAATGAAATGAGTGCTTTATGATATTGAGGTATTATAATGTTAATTAGGAAGTTTTCTGTGTGTCTACAAGCTTACTTGAGTCTAGATCACCAATATTAGAGGAATTGTTAGGTTTATGTTCTCAAAAATTTGATAGCACCAAAAGATGACTGTTCTGATTATAATTAACTTTAACATAAGATTAAATGTAGGTTCTGATTATACTTTTCTACTCTTTATATTGTGTTAACATGCAGAAAATGCTATAAATAAGAGGTATTAAGTTAAATAACCTAATAGGACCAGAACCT